TAAACATAGATGATTATTTCATCGTATACCTGCTACATCTCATTGAGGCTTGCACAATATACACTTACCATTTGATTTAAATTTAATTTTAACTTAATAGAGCATTATACTATTATAGTATTGGAATTTAAGTCAAATACTCAAATGGTCGCACAAATTGAGCCACATATACCTATATCATACATTCATACCTCATACTAATCATATCGACAATATTTTAAAAACTAAATTTAAATCGGTGTTTTCTAAATGCTGGCAAAGTAATAAAAACCATGTGACTTGCGGACAAAACCTAAAAAGGTGACATTATACGAATTATGGACACAAAAATAATATACTACCTTTGGACAAATTTTCAATTATTATTTTTGATATAACAGTTGTGTTAGATATCGATATTTAATATATATAATATGGTTGACTTTACTTATATGATTACTTATCTTTATTATGAGATAGGTAATATTCAAATGAACTAAAACACTTATAGAATTTTATGCAATAGTACTCAACGTAGTAGATCAATATTACACATGAAGGAAAGTGAAAAATGAATTGTTAATATTAATTCTAATAAAAGTGTTGTGTGCTTCTCTGCGTTCATAAATTTAATTATTTTTCAACAGTGTAATGCTATTTTATTGATGGTATTTTTTCAAGCTACACATCTTATTCACTAAAAAATTCGTGATTCACGGTTCAAAGAACATAATTTATATTTTATACCATTATTTGTTTGTTCGTCGGTGGGTGAATCATTCGTCAATTTTATTATTTTATAGCACTCGAGTTCTTGGAAAAATATATAATATTACGTATTATAATATTGACCTAAACTATTCGTCCGCAAATACTATTTTTTACAGAGTCCAATAACAGGTAACCTAACCTAACGATATTTTCATTTATCAATATCAGTTCATTTATATCGATATGAAATAATTGTAATTCAACAGCGGTAATTTTTTATGAATTAAAAACTCGAATTAAACAATCGAAAAAAAACGAAACGAAATCTATATAGCACTTTATTTATTTTTATTACGCTAAATTTAGAATCATAGGTTTTACAGACTTAGAATTCGGGCACCGTTCAGGGGTAGGGATTAATGTCAATTGTCAAATACCGACGGATATCTTATTTTTAAGTTTATTATTTTTACAGCACGACTTGAGTGATGTATATTAAGACAATATTAATGTTATACGGTTAATTAGTGTGTGGTACTGTGGTACATTCCTTATTAAACAAAATGTATTCTGTACCTCTTCCTTAAGATAAAAAGGAATTTATTATTTTCTTTGATCTTAAAAAAAAATTCTTTCCTTTTTTTAGTTCTAGATAGAAATATAGAAATACGTAAAAATAATCTATCTAAATTCTTTAAAGTTGGTTATTTACAGTTTACATTTAATATTATCCATAATTTAACAAGTTATCATATTGTGTAAAGAAGTACCTACTTAAATGTTTATTGAT